GGATCGATGTGCGAGCATGAGCAATTTACAAGAAACTTAAGTAAGCGGGTCACGCATGTCCCGCTGAAGAATCCCACCTCGCGAAAAGAGGGTCAACGTTAAAACGCGCAGATCATAAATAACCGCGATTATTACATTCCGCATGCCACACATGCGTCTAAAGAGACCGCGGAGATCTCTGGCTTCCTTTTACGTACCGTACCATTCGTCGTAATGTAATCAGCTACGAAGCCCATACGCCCGCGCTTGTCGTATGACAACCATCCGCGACCGGTTATCGCGGCATTCATGAGTTTCTCGGTAGTTCGAAGGTGGTCTTCTTATCTCCCGGAATGACTGGAACGTGTAACATCGGCTGTCGTTCTCTCCTTCGTCGACTCGGTCATGACTTTGTCGGCGAATCTATCCGACGACGAGCACGCTGGCGCGGATGAGGGGCATGAAATGTACGCGGAATGCATTAATCGGCGCGCAGGATTTTTAAAGGAAAAGATATATATTTTTGTTTATATGTTATTATAACTGTAGGATTATTCGAAACCAGCTTCTCCAAGTAACAGTAGTCATTAAAATAATAAATCATAAATAATCGTCCATTCGATGTATATTAAATGTTTGGCATTAAGCTGTCAAAAGTTTGACATTAAACTGTGCAGCTGTACTCGCGCGTAACGCATTTTTATTTTACGATAATCACCTACCTATCTCGTTCCCGTTGGACGATCCGCATTGTTCGAATGTGGGAGAATCGTCGCATAAATCATCGCGATACAAGGCCGCCGATCGCACGTGAAGGAAGCGCACGGAACAGCTGTTGCCGGACAAAGGCGCGACGAGACGAGACGCGTAAGCTCTGATTACGGTGTAACATGGATGGCTCGTCATGTCGATACTCAACGTCCAGTCATCGGCTGGATTTCTTCATCCCACAGTACATTACATAACGAACTGTAAGACGCTGGATACATACGTGGAACTTTATAAAAGCTTTATTAAAGATTTTTTAATTTTTTTGCTATAATTGTTTTATTTCTCGTTTTATTATCGTATCTCGCCGTGTCAAATTAATTAATTACATGTAATTGCTGATTAAATGTTTCTCGAATTTAATTTTATTAAAAATGCACGAATTATATAATTAAAAAAAAATAAATAAATTATATATAATAAAAATTGTTTTAATATTTACACAGCCATATTATGTAATAATAATAACTTTATTTTGGGTGTACAATAATCGGTAGCTATATATAAATATAATACACATAAAAATTTATTTCAGAAATATTGATATATATAATTATGCGAGATATCTCTCTGTAACATGACTATATTCTTAATACGGAATGATAATCTTAGATATTAAAGCATCACGCGTTCTTTTATATTACGCATAACGTTCGATATGTCATATGTCGGATATATATATGATCTCCGAACGATTGAGAGTGAGTGCGATTTGAATTATTATCGTGCAATACAATCGGCACGGCTGTTTACGGCAAACATAACTATTTCCTTCCGGTGGAACGAAGCTTGTGCGAACACGGTTGTCCTTGGCGAGTCGAGAGCTCGATGAGTCAACTCTGCTTGACCGTGGGATTGCTTCTTAAGTTTCTCCATTATCGCTTCACCGACTGAATTTCGTCGAGCTCATTTTTTCGCGCTCTTCAGCCGCGCGTTTCTCTGTTCGCCATGTGCCATTTTGCCGGCCTCTCATTTTATTAAATAAACATATCAAAAAAATAGAACAATACATTGTAAAATCTTGGAACGTAGGAACGACGATTGAATGGAATGCGAGAAGATGAAAAAATTTAATATATTTAAAAATTCAATGCAAAAATGCAAAATTCTCTCTATATTATACAAATACAATATTTTACTCTTTCTTGCCCTTTTCTACCATGCAAAAAAGCGGCGTGCAATTCTAGGACACTATGTTGTATTTTCCAGCGGAGAGCAAAAGATGTCCGTGAAAGTCTCTGAAAGAAACGATCGGAGCCGCGTTAAAGACGCAGTTCGCGCGTGAAATGAACGCGGCATAGTAGGTATGTTTTACGCACGCTACCTTGAAATAAAGACCCGCGTTATGCAGGTCGCGGCTACTTGTTTTCTCCGTGTATTGTACAAATTCTCACCCACGCGTTGCCAAGCATACGCAAGCGTACATGTGTGTCTAACTTATTACGAGGCAGAGGAGATGCGTCTGGTATTTTACAATCTCCCGTACGGATTATGTGCGTATCGTTATTATCTCGCTTCGAAAAATAGAATCGATTTATTCACAATGAACGAGCATTGTGCGAGTCTTTAATATACATATATTTTGAGGAAAAAGTAAAAAACAATTTTAAATTAATAATAATTTGTATAACAAAAACCGCAAAAATAACTCTACTCTCTATTATTATTTGCCTTTACAAAAATGGAAAATAGTCACGCGTACAGTATCTATGAGATCACAAAGACACGAGGTAGATGAACAGCAGTGTAAAATCGAGTTCAGCGTCTTCTTTACCGATATCTCGCAAAGTGTCGGCGTTTGAGATTTGGCGTCGCGATAAACGGCCGAAGATTAATATTCGCGATATGCGCGCGTGCATTCCCGGCTATGGACGAACGTCGCGCATCCGGTGTGCATACGAAACGACGGACGGCGCGAGAGGAGTGCGAGCGAGCGCGGCGGAGGGATCGCGCGGAATGCGCGGAATGCAACGGGGCCCTCGATGATCTCGAGCCGAATACCTTCGGGGTCCGGAGCTCCCGTTTTTCGCGACCCGTCGTCACTCGTCACTTCGTTCCGAACCGAGGGCGAAGTTCGACACGTCGATCGCTGAATAACGCGGCGCGTTGTACGAGAGATCTGGTTATTTGATACGAGGCCAAAGCTGCTGGATAGCAAATGCAGCGTCGAGTTGCATAATTTTTTTTTTTACGCGGTTGCGAAACATAAAGAGAGAAACGAACATCTGCGATTTTTAAGAACGAGATAAAGTTGATATTATTGATATTTCTTATATTAATATAAATATAATATTATTATACTATAATATTTTATTAATATTAATATTATTAATTATGTTTTTTTTCATTTTTTATAAAATGAAATTTATAATATATATAAGCGAAAAAATACTACGTTCCTAATAAAATGTGATATCTGTATAATAAATTGTTTTCTCTTCTTGAAATTAACAGTTGCAATGAAGATGTGTGCGAACATAGATATTATTAAAAATGTATTTCTTGAAATTTAAAAATGAGATAAAAATCTATACAAAATACGTGTAAATTTATTATGTCACATGATATAAATATAAATAAAACTAGGATAACTTGCAATGAATTTATATTCTCTTTGAATATAGAAGTGGACATCTGTCGGCTTGACTGTCCGTACGTTTGCCCGGGGTTAAATAATGCGATCCGAATCCTGGAACCGTTGATATCCGCTGCCGGACGTACGGTGCTATACGCCTTGTTCCCGGATACGGTGCGTGTCGTTAGAATAATACGATATCGGTCGACACACGCAAATGCCGATTTCCGTGCGCTCGTGTAACTTGGGTGGCTGGGGCTGGGGGTTAACAATGCGACTGACCATTCACCGGACACGGTTCGGGCAAGAACCGGTCAACGGTCTACGATCCGCTAATTCCGAACCGGGGGTCAGAGTCCCCCGCGTGCGGCAGGTGCATCCGACGATGCTTTCGCATTGCGTAGGTGCGTATGTACCGTATCGTCGGCAAGGCGCGTGTTGCGCATTTTGTATGAGGATCTAAAACGAGATCAATTAATGCTCCCTGCCGCGGAAGACAACTAGAGAAGGAGAGAGAGAGGAAAAGATCCAGACGGCGCCAGTTCGAATACCAGCCAGAAACGGATCCAGAGGAGAGATCGTGGCCTTCCCTTTAAAAGTTCCATTACAAGGCATACAAATTTCGGCCAGTTTTTTTCGAACTGGGAATGCAATATTCAAATAATAAAAACTTGTTTATAATGGATAAGTTTGGATAGTATAAATAATATATATACTAAAACAATGTATATGTATAATATTTATATAATATGCAGGCCCAAAAGTGGTACTCGATTTGGTGGAATCTAAATATATATAAATCATCGAATATATATAAATCATTTAATTATATACATAATCTTATAAAGTGATGAATATGCAAATTTAAAATTGAAATGAAATTGAAATACACTCTGGAATATGAAAATGGAAGACTCATGGTTAATGAAATAATTAATTTTTCTTATCTCATATATTATTCTCATGAGAGAGAACAACGAAAATTATTTACTTTTAAGATTAAAGTGCAGAAGAGATTAAATTATATAGAAGAAAAACTGTTGTGTCTGTAGGATAATTTTATTAACCTTATGTTAATGATAGGAGAGTGAAAATGCGATTTTGTTTTTGAACCTAGGAATCTAGTAATATCGACAATGACCGAGCAAGATCGGTGTTCTTCCGTAATTTTTAATCCATCCTATCTCTACTCTTTGCTTCTACTTCGTCCTCCGCCCGCCTTGCTATCGTAATTAAGGGCCAATTTAATTAAGAGGGAAGGATAAAAAAGAAGTCGGCAACGGCACGACAGCCACTTCGCAGGATGAATGAACTCGTTGCGCGAATATGTAGAACCCTTGGGTATACTTTTGATCTGCGTGTGTGTATATATATATATGGGTATGTGTGCCTATGTCAAGCGTGAGACGCGCGTTTGCGAAAGGCTCAATGATTAATTAGTCGTCCTAGTTTGCGCTTGTTTAAAGACACTTAGTTTATTTCTACGTAACTTGTGTGACAACCAACTATCCAATTTCTTTTTTTAACTAGACGTGAGTAACGCAAGAACGTATTTGGCAAAAGTAAATGTATTATTTTATAATGTTCCAAATATTACAAGCACCTGGTATCATATATTATTTTATTCTTATATGTTTCTTCATATTTATATCTTTTTTTCATATTTATATGTTAACAGAATGAAGAGATGATCGCGAGTTTGCCAATCAACGGCAGCGGCAGCGGAGGGCCGGTGAGTCGCGTGGGTCGTGGATTGGCCCTTCACAGGTCCAACTCCAGTTTGGAGCTTCCGCACAGTCCAGATCCTGCTTCCCGGGTGCCAGAAACGCCTCTCAGGAGAGAGTATGGATCTCATGGTACGAATCGAATTTTCCAGATATTTCACAAAGCTTGAAAGATGGACGAAAATAAATTTTTTAAATGTCCATCATGTTGTTTATTCCAAATGGAAAGTGATTTTATACGAGGAACAGTTTACTATATTTCTCTTTATTGAATTTTATAATTTAAAAAAAATATTTATATATAATAATATAATTTCAATTTCAATTTTTAAAGTTTGCTTTTTTTACTTTGATGTAATCATTACATAAGCATACATTTCGACTTTAATTAATCTGTCGTAGGGAGCATCGACGTAGTGGCGCAGTCGATTACAGCCGGCGAGAATTTCTTCGCTATACTGCAGGACTTTCGACCGCCAGAGCAGCGCGGCGTCGTCACCAGCGATTATCTGCGCCGCGTTCATCAGCAGGACGGGGCAGGCCAGCCACTCGACGTCGACGAGATCTGCCCGACTGGCGCCGGTTCCAGTCCGAAGCTACGACTGAAACTGAACAGACTGTGGGGCGGGAAACCACCGCGGGCGATGGAAGAGACGTGCACCAGCCCGATGGTGTCGGCCGACGTAGAGGAGCGTCATCGGAGACGCGCGTTCGCCCACTACGACTGTCAATCGTTGACGGCGAATCTGGGCTACGCCGCGAAACTCCGGGGAATTCTTCTGGCTAGGAGAAGAAATACGGCCACTGGAGCGTCCGCCGCCAGTGCTCTGAGAGCCTCTACTCCAGACGAGACTCCCGAGGAAGATGCCGGCGATGGAAAAGGTATATTAAAAAAAATATGAAAAATATGAAAAGACAGAAGCTAAAGTATCGTCGGGCGATTCGCTTTCTCTTTAGAAGATCTCACTTGTTATTGTTTGCGGTTTCAGGCAACGATCTACTAGAGCCGTGTCCCTTCTTCCGCAATGAGATCGGCGGCGAGGGAGAACGCGAGGTTGGCCTTACTCGTTGCTCGAATGGCAACGGAATTCACAGACCGCCGCTGTCATACGGTGTCTCCGTTCTGGAACCGCCGCCCGGAGAGACTCTATGGAAGCACACTTGTCCGTTGCAGAAACGACCCATGCCTATCGAGAGCGTTGACGAGGGAGCCCATTATTACCGACGATACTTCCTTGGTAAATGAACAACGATACACGCCGGCTTATGTAAATCTTTTGTCGCGTTACCTACAGAATTTTCACCGATTCTTTAATTATAAATCGCATACTGCGTGCACTACGAACAGCGCAAACATTTTTTTATTTATTTGAATATGGAGTTCATAGCGTAAACTCTTAGGGATTAAATACAAAAATTTGCGAACATAAATGCAAAAGAGTTTGCAAAGATTTCGATCATTCGCTCGGACACAATGCAAAGAGAAAGAAATATCTTGCCGCAGGACGAGAACATCAGAACTGGTTCGGTATGGAGGAACAGTTGGGACCGGTGGCCATCAGCATTCGCAAGGACGTCAATCAGTATCGCGTGATCGTGCGTACATCAGAGTTACTGACGCTGCGCGGCTCCGTGCCCGAGGAAGCTCTCGGCATCAGGCCACAAGGCCGGCCGCCTACGAGGGAGCTCTTGGAGTTGGTTGCGCCGGAAGTGCAGATGGGCTGCCTGAGGCTTGGCACGCTTGCCGCTGAGGAAGCGCTAGCCAGATTGGACGAGCAGGGATTATCCAGCAGGTACAAAGTCGGCGTCCTGTATTGCCGGTCCGGCCAAAGAACCGAGGAGGAGATGTATAACAATCAACACGCCGGTCCGGCCTTCCTAGAATTCTTGGACACTATCGGTACGTTATTCTTCATTGCAAGTTGTTTTATATGATATTTGAAGTCAAGATAATGTCTCAAAATCTTGTAGTGAAAAATATTAGAGCATTTGCTGACGCTGGAAATTTAAAATATACGCTTTCGGTAAATAAGAAATTATTGAAGATGTTTTAAAGAGATATGAAAAATATAAGTAATGAATTTTATTATTTGTAAAATGTAGAGTATTCTTCCGCTTCATGTTTTTATTTTAGCGGAAACTTTTTGCCTTCACTTTTTAACATGGGCATTTGTTTACTTTCACTAATTTGAACCATCTTAAAAAAAACAACTATTTTAATCCAGAATATGTGATTTCCACCTATTATTTCTAATAAGTTTTTCTATCTTTTTATCTATCCTATTTATTAGGACATATTTCCTTGCAACAAGAATATTTTCCAGATTTACGCATTAACAAGCGAGTTAACAAAGTTTAGTGAGTCGGAAACCTCTCGTCAAAAGCCAATAAAATTATTCTCTCGTAAACATCGCGAATAAAAGTCAGGGAAGATTTATACATGATCTTATACGTGATTCTCACTGGTTACTTCACGGATAGTTTGAGACGCTTTATCGCTGATTAATCGATTCAATGTTTCGAAATGATTTTACCTAATGTACTTCGTAAAGTTAATCATCCACGAACACATGCACGTAATTTCGCGGTCGTTGTGTCTGGATATCGCGAATCGTTGCCTTGGTTATCCCTATTAACGAGTTACTGTTGCTTTCTAAAAGAGAAACGCATGTTCTATTTTTTCCAAGCGTCACACACATCGTTGCTTTTTGCGCCGCTTCCGGGCGTCAAGTCGATGGTTATCTCGATACTTAATTTGTGGAACACAAACGCGACGCGTCTAATCTACAAAATAAAGGAAACGATTTAAAAATAGATTTATATAATATATCTTCTTTCTTGAGCATATTTTATTTAATATATATACAATGATGATATTTTTTTATTATTTACTGTATTTTATATTTTCCCTCGAAAAGATATGATCGCACAGTTTCTAAGAAACATATTCTTTTAACATAATAATTATCCATGACTAAACCGCGAAAAACAAAATTGATTATGTCGCTTGATGTGCGAATACAAGTACGCACTGGAGGAAGTCGAAGACACGTAACGAGACGGCCGACAATTCTTGGACCGCGCCGGGCAATTGAGATAATTGTAGGTTTTTATGACAGGCCAAAGAATAAGACTGCGAGGATTCGAGGGTTACAAGGCCGGGCTGGACACCAGAACCGACTCGACGGGTACGCACGCGGTAGCCGCGACGCATCGCGGAGCGGAAGTCACCTTTCACGTATCCACCATGCTACCCTTCACGCCTAATAACCGGCAACAGCTGCTGAGGAAGAGGCACATCGGAAATGACATAGTCACGATAGTTTTTCAGGTACAGTTCTGCACTTAACATTGTAAATTATAAAGCTATGCGATTACGCAATCGTGTAATAATGAACATGCGAAACGTGGATGTGACGCACAGCTCTCTGCGACACGCTAGATTTATTGTTGCAACCTGTTTGCACACCGAGAGCAGCGAATGAGACATCGCAATTATGCTCGAGAATGAATCATTATTTAATTTTGAGATCGGATTCTGGATTGCGTACTTATGTCAGAATTTGTGAAATGATTTATAGCTGATGATACCTTCAACTTTCATTAAATAGATCAAATGTATATATGTTGTCTATTATTTATTAAAAGTTTAATAAAATATCTTGTAATTGCTGCGCATTTCTAGGAACCTGGTGCATTACCATTCAGTCCGCGAAGGATACGCTCCCAGTTTCAACACGTATTTATCATTGTGCGAGCCATAAATCCTTGCACCGACAATACGCAGTACAGTGTGGCGGTGTCCAGGAGCAAAGAAGTGCCCATCTTCGGGCCACCTATTCCACAGGGTGCTACGTTCGCTAAAGGAAAGGCTTTTGTGGATTTTATTCTGGCCAAAGTCATAAACGCCGAAAATGCAGCTCACAGGTAAAATGTCGTGTTCTTTGGTTTTTATACGTCGTAAAATTAATCGTAAAATTAATCGAGCTAAATATATACCTTTCTTCAGGTCTGAAAAATTCGCCACGATGGCCACGAGAACGAGACAGGAATATTTGAAGGATCTGGCTACAAATTATACAACCACCACAGTTGTCGACACTGGCCAAAAATTCTGTATGTTGCAAATTCTTTTAGAAAATTCTCTTTATTTGTTTTTTTAATAATAGAGTAGTAGAATTTTGAAATTTATATATTTTTACTTATATATTTTATTTTTAACAAAAAATTTTTATACGCGGTTTTGCAAATAATAAATTAATTATTTATAATTGTTTGGTTTGTTTAGTAAATTAAATTATATGATTAATTAGATACCAAAATTATATAAAATCGTTGCAATGGCATTTCTGAAATATATGTTTCTTTTTCGCAAAATAGCGATGCTCTCCTTCAGCAGCAAAAAGAAGACAGCGGTACGACCGAGACTTTCCTGCGACGCATCTCAGCGCGGCGCGATTTGCTGGCAGGTCATACTCGAGGATAGCAATCAGAACACAGATTGTTACTTAGGTATAAGCATAGACACCATCGTGCTGATTGAGGAGCACTCCAGGCAGATAGTATTTGTCGCTCCGTGCGTGAGCGTGCTTGGATGGCATGCTCAAACAAACAGGTAATCATTCTTTAGTTTTTTGAATCTTCAAATTAAAATATTTTCATGCGCGCACGCTTGCACACACATGTATTATTTTACAACTTTTTTAATGTCAATAGAAAATTAAGTCCTTCAATATTCAATCGCAATTAATTCTGAAATCGATTGTTAAACGCGCAACCGCCACTTATAGCTTTATTGCATTATTCAAGATCAATTTATCGTAAGAACCACTTGCGGACGATCGGAAATCGAACGACTGATTGCACTCGTAACATTTTTGCTTTGCTCTGCATCTCAGTTTAAGATTGTATCATCATCAAGGCGAATGCATCACCATACACGTACGCGGTGATTATGGCGAGAGAGACGAGTTAATGGAAATTGTGGCTCGGCTGCGCGCCGTAACTCAAGGTGCACCGGCTTCGGAACTGTCGTTGAAGAGGAACAACCTTGGACAATTGGGCTTCCATGTTCAACCCGACGGTGTTGTGACGCAGGTCGAAAGTATGGGGCTATCGTGGCAGGCGGGCCTGAGACAAGCCTCCAGGCTGGTCGAGATTTGCAAGGTGGCCGTGTCGACCTTGAGTCACGATCAGATGGTCGATTTGTTGAAGACCAGCGCCCAGGTTACTGTCACCGTAATACCGCCAACCAATGATGGAAATCCGCGAAGGTATAGAATCTTGAATATTATCTTCCTTTAATTAATTTTTAATTATTTTATAGATAAAATTCGGGATAAATTTAAATTTAATCAATCTGACGTAGAATTCTTTTATATCGCTTTTATAAGTTTAAATTCCGCACAATTTTTAATTTAAATAATAAAATTACATTAAAATAAAAACGCGTTTTTTTTCTTTAAAAATTATCAAAGATATTAAATAGTTTCTTTAATTCTTTTTTCTACACGATAGAGGCTGCACGTTGCAAAACTGCCATTATCTGTCGAATAATTACGAAGGAGATTATGAGAACGTGACAAGCGCAGATAATACGCCGAGTCAGCAAACGGCGATGTCGCATCAACGACGATACGATCGATCGTTCAGCCCACCGCGATCGAGCAACAGCTCCGGGTACGGTACTGGATCGAGCTCTAGATCGTTCAACGATCCGCGGTTTCCGTTGGAGGGTACAATGACTAGCAGCAGTAGCGGACACAGTAGTACCGATGATCGTTGGTGAGTGATTAAAAATGAAATCACATTAACCCCTCGCGACTTATCGTAACGTTAACAAATCGTTCCTTTTCGAACTGTCGATCGTTGAACGTGTAAAGTTGATATCCATCTACTTATCAGACTCAATTAATATTAGATGCACGATTAGGAAACGAATCGAAAGAATCGAAAGAAATAAAGTATTTATTGTTCTAGGTATGAGCTTCTAGAACCGCAGGATCAAGACGGCAATCATCGCGCGGACGGCACGCCGCCTCCGTTACCAGCGCGACAAAACTATCAAATTGTGACACCAAGCAAGTCTGGCCAGAAGAAAGACAAGTCTCATTATGCCAGTGCCAAACAGCTCGCGGATAGCTCGAAGCATCGCGAACATAATCATGAGCACTATACGAAGGAGAGCAATTATGTGTCGTCGAAAATAATCCAAGAGAATGCGCGTCATGAGAATTATCAGCGACAGCTAGACAATGCGCATCGCAATCAGGATCACGTGACGACGAATTACGTGAAGTTGCAGAAGGAACGATACGAGATCAAGCAAGAGAATCTATATGCTTCTCAGAGAGAACTCCATAAGAACGATGCACAGCACCATGGTGGCCATCAGAAACTAAGTGTGTCGAATTCGCTGCCATTGACGCATAATGCTGTTTACAGTCTGCCAAAATCAGGCAGTAACAATAACCTCGGCAGATATAATGAGTACGAACAGTCTGGCGGCAAGTACGATTACGAGACACCTACAAAAGTGGACAGAAGTTCCAAATACGAAATACAAGAGGAGAAAATTGTTGAGAGACCAGCTGCCAAGTACGAGCATGATATACGAGGATGTCACGAAAAGAGAATCGGTTACGAGTATTCGGAGAATATTTACGAGAAGAGGAACAGCAAATACGATCTAGAGTTAGCCAAATACGAGATGGAGTGTCAGCACGTTGGCAATGAAAGAAAACACAATAACGACGGCAATAATGAACACAACCGAGAGTCCACGAAATACGAGGTGCCGCACGATTTCAAAGTAGGCGAGAAAGTCACTTGCCTGAAGACTAGCATATCGGAGCGACCGGTGCACAAGGTAAACGTTGAATACCGACAATCAAAGGATTTCCCGGCGAGTCTGCCGCCGGAAGTTAGAATATCTGACGTTAATTGTCCGGAAGTAACTGCACTGCCTAGCGAGGACGAGCTGTCGAATGGCTCTGGCAGCGTATCGCCCAGACTGCGACGGGCCAATAAACATCGCGGCGGCAATCGCACGCCGTCCAGCGGCAGCTCCAGAAATCAGAGTCCTCGACCAAAGCCGGGCATGAGAAACTCGCACAGAAATTCCGCAAATCTGACATCCAGCACGTTGCAGGAGGACCTCATGAGACTGATCAATCCCGATTACATCGCCGATGACAGCCAAATCGTTAACAATAATCTCGTAAACAGTGTGATGAATCCGAATCAAAATTCGAACAAGATAAACAATAATATGCTAGAGATTCAAAATAGATGCAGATCAAGAGAGAATTTGTGTGGCAATAGCGCGTCTACCTTGAGCGTATTGCCTACGAATGGACAAGAAAATGGAAACAATGGATCGGAAGTGATCCTGACGATGGCCAGACCAGCCACAGTGATTTCCAACGCCAGCACTGCCTCAAGCCCAGCACCGAGCGAGAATAAATTGTCAAAAGAGGAAAGGTGTGGAAAATTACGGACTTAATACTCTTAATTAATAGAAATAATTTTATACACACACACATATAAAATAGTAAATGGTAAAATGGATAATTTGTAATGATTATTTGTTTTATAACGTAAAAATTTTTCTTTAGATTATCGCCACGTGTTACGAAACCACTTCATCCGATCTCGAAACCCCATAACAATCTGACACCGATCAAAGATACGAAAAATCACAACGACGCGAATGTGGATTGTTGGAAGAATCAACATGCGGATTCCAACAGATCGATGAAGCAACACCCTCAAGAATGGTCCGATGATAGAATCATCGATGGATGCAATGCGAATACGTAAGTAATATAATGTGAGCATACGATGACACAACGTTGAACGCGATTGATGACAACATCAATACTTTTGCAGGAATTCCGTTTCGGATTTGCAATCTCATCTATCCACTCTCGAGTTGAGAATGGTGAGAGAAACACGTCTGCGACTCTCGTTGGAGGATGAGGTGCGTCGATTGCGCGATGAGAATCGACGTTTACAGGAGTCCGAAAATCTACGACTCTCCTTGGAAGATGAGAACCGTCGTCTGAAGGACGAGAATCACGCAGCTGCGCAGCAGCTCCGACGTTTCACGGAGTGGTTCTTTCAAACGATGGATCATCAATAATCAGTATAAAGATAAAATTAGGATGTTTTATTGTCCAATCAAATGTTTCAAATGATCATCAAATAGCACGATAATCAATAAGCTATACTCCATTTTCATTTCCAGTATCATAGAAATTATTTACAGAGAACAAAGTTTGTGTATCCTCTTGGATATTCTTAAAACGTGAACTAAACAAGTTATCTTTTCTGAATCGTTGGATCGATTGCATTTACTTCATCTGCATTTTGTCGCGTTGCTCGGATCGGAGCACAATTTTTGTTAATGCAGTATTAATGTGAACCTGTAGATGTTATAACAGATCGATCGGAGACAGCCGCAAGGGATTGCGGATGAGCATACACAGCGTAAGCAAGAATATTATATCATTCGCAACTTTTCTCCCTCGATCTTTGATATTTTGTATTATATAGATTCGTTAGATTTTATTTGATTGTAAAGTATATAAGTTACCGTCGTACTATTTTCTTGTGTCGAAAATTAGTGCGTTGCAGTTAAACTATTATTTAGATCATATTTCCCAAAACTAATTACTGTGCGTCTGGATCCATCTTTAAGAGGACAGTGCACTTTAAAATATATAAACGTTTGATTTTATGAAAACGACCAAATGACCAAATATTATTAGAAAAGCTAAGGGTTATTACTTTAATTCTGTAATTTATTACGCCTTTTATATCAGTCGTCTAGAGTGTTAATATAGAAATTTCGCACGTGCTAAAGCGCGTCTACAGGTGCGAGGCACTTACTGTGTCTCCGCCACGAATTCTTTCTTTTTCATAAGTGACATAAAGCATGATTCCGATATAATGTACAAAACCAACGTTCATTGAAAATCGTAAATCGATCAATAAAAAGAAATATGTATTTCAACACCTATCTCATTTTTTAAAAAAGACCAAATGTGTAGAATATATTTTCATGCTCTATGACATAAAAGCATCTAAGAGCACTTTATATAACACAGATTACATAGTATATGTGCATATAAAAAGCAGGGATAGAGCAAGGATAGAACTGAATTGTTACTACCAGTTAGAATAAAATAGTTTATTGTAATCCACAGAAAAAAAAACAAGACATTTCCATGATGCCTTAAGATCTGTCTGTCTCACTGTTACTGTCAGTTTAACAATTAGCTGCGGTTACACTCCTTTTTGTTTGAGATCGCGAAAATGCTACGCTTCGCTGCCGTATCGCGATATCGACAATTCTTAATACTCGATATTACCGGATCTATAGCTAGGATCCGGCCGATTTATGATCGGATCGGATTATGCGTTTGGTATCCTTATAGATAAAAAGAAGCTAGGCTCGCTGCCAGGCGATATCGCGATTCGGTCATTTACACTGGTTATCGCTATCTCATTGTATCGCGATATACTTATCCTTCTGTTCGCATTACGGAAGAATATCGCGTGTTCTCCTTCTTCTTTCATTCTTCTCTCTCCTGTTATTTTTTAACGCCCATAGATCTGGACAGTCGATTTCGATCGCATAATTATCGTTATCGGTATTATCCAGAGGCAAGCAAAATATTACTCCATTCTTGCAAACGTCACGTCTCGTCACATGTTCTTCATATCTGACAGTCTATTATTTATGCATTAAATCTGTATGTGTACCCATAATTAGTTCGTTTCTCTAATCTCTAGATCTAGGTATACTGATGTCCGAAGGACATCGCGATTACTGCGCGTTCTGAGAGAAAAGTGATTATGCGAGAGAATATTTGACTGCTTATAATCGAAACACTGTGAAGTAATATTTTACACAGCTCTGCATGTGTGTATAACGCTTATATCACCGAGGCTTCTCTTCGGTTTTGTTCGCTTAAGTACATGAGAAGTTATGCCTAGCAAGAGTAATTTACTCGTAGATGTAGAGATGTTTAAACACTCGGACTTAGTTTTATATTCTAATGTAGCATTTTCTCTACACAACTCTCTAATTAACATGTCCTCACATGGAAGTACATCTCCATTACGAAGTTCTAAATGAGTTATCATCAGCGTGAATAAATCTCGAAAACGCGGAGCACTTTACGCAGAATCGGCGTAAAATGCTCGGACGTTAAAGAACTATTTTAATAAAACTTAACATCATTAACTGCGCAAAGAATCTAAACTCGTAATGGGTCATTCGTTGCAAGAGCTCTTCAACTGGCAAAATGTCGCGCATCATTCTGTCATGGAAATTAATGAAACACGATGAGTCGAGCGAAAGCGAAAGAGATGTTCCGACAAGAACTTTGAGATTTCCACAATATAATTGTATTTTCTTGCCGGTTAAACTCATGTGTCTGAACAAGCCAAATAATACATAAAATCGAAAAATATTTTAAAAGCATCTCTAGAAGACTTCTACAAAAATTTAGAATGTCTTTACGATATCTTTCGGATATTTCTATTAAACTCGGAAGTCTTGTCATGTCGTGTATATGCCTTAAGTGCCAATCTTGTGCACCAAAAGCAACGAACAATGAGGCTTTTATTAAATATATCTCATAGTTATATATAGCGTTAAACGGATATTCGCGTTTAAGATTTCGATTAGAGACTCGGTATGAATACGTCAGTGTCAAGGAAACGATAGCTACAAGCGGAATGAGTTGCGCATGACAAAAAGATTGATCGATCCTATAAAGCGTAAGAAGACTAACAGCGTAGCTAAACACGTGTCGGGCTATGAATCATGCACGTTCAGCAAGCGGGCATTATGGCACACAAGGATAAATAAAGATATCGGATGGATTGAATCAAGAGCACCGGTTCTCACATTACGAGGAGCAGAAAGCTTCCACACACAAGTATTGGGATTATGTAACAAAAAATCTCGTGGAAAAATCTTGCCGAATACAAAAGAATCACAAAATGAGTAGCTGCGACACAGAACATTTAAAAAAAATTTGTTTACTGGACGATAAAATATATGAGATTTTATACATTATCTTCGTCCAACTATTTTCATTTGATTTTCTCGAAAACTTGTTTTTACTCTATATATATTTTTATACATATTACACGCTTATTCAGTTGTAACAATTAAGAAACATGGCCAACTACAATCATAGTTTATTTAACGGAATTTTGACAACAAAAATTCCCATTGCTGATTGATATAAATGTTAATTAATTTATTAAAACATGATCTGATAGAGTCTTATATAAAATGATTCTTGCTACAAATAATTTCCATTGGCCATCTCAATTACCTCATCGTGATAAAAAGCGAAGCGACTTCCAAGAGAACGTACTTAAAAAAAAAAAAAGAGAGAAAAAAGTAAGAGAAGTATATATATGTATATGGCGGGGACTACTTTCTATTTACGGTAATACGGCATCAAGTTGGAAGTAAAAAGGGCACAGCATATAAGAAAGACGGATATAAAGACGGAGATTAATCTATCGTGTACAGTTTTCCACGTTTTACAAGATGTTTCATCTTCAAAATATTTCAAGCTTTAATGATGAAATTTTTTCACGAACTTAAATCGATCTTTTCTTCTTAGCAATTTTTTATGAGAAGTCCACTTGCAAATATTATTGTATATTAAGAGAACTGAGTTTTTGAGAGGGACTCAAATTTCATGAAGTCATTTATCGATTGATCGTAGAAAAATATTAAAGTAATGTTCTCCAAGAGCGTAAACGCAAATTTCATTAATAGCATATTCCAAAATTATGCATCATTAAAACTTGCTGCGATGGTGAAACATCGTGTATTTTGCAATTCCGAGCAATCGTTTACAAACGAAAGCGAGAAGACGTGACTGACAAAGAGGATTTCTCATGAATATCATGACGATCTTATCTATCTTGTTTCGTAATCGTTATTTTCGATTATTCAAAGTCGCCATTCGTTTCATTCGCACGCAAGATTTGCCTGGTTCGTACGATTGATGGCCGCATACAATCCGGCCGAAAATTCCGGTGAAAATCTACGAAAAGTATAATGCTTCACGATAAATTCGCCGATCATGCGGTTGCCGTCGGGACGTTCCAGCGAATATTACATTCTGATTTTCTACGCTCGCAAACATTACCGATAATACGTCGATTCGGAGGGCGCGTCCTCCATTAAATACAAAAATACTGTTCTGATGCACCATATCTCTTCACCTATTATCCCTACCATTATGCACATTATAATCCCTGTAGTCTTTAACGCTCCGTTATCGTGGACGAGGAAAGAATACTGACACACGTAAAAAAGTATGTGTATATGTGTGTTTGTGAGAAAAAAAAGGGAATCAAGGAAGATTATCGCAAAAGTACCGAATTTCGATTGCGACTCACGATTACTTCTATTTCAGACCTGGTTGCACCAATGTCGGTTTTACGACTAATTATAACAATATAAATATTATAGAATATTATAAATACTATAGAATATATTATACAAAGTGTCGAGAAATGAGATTTATATCATGATCAAGAAGGCGGTTCCCCCAAACAGCAGTCTCTCGTTGAAAACTACTGCTTCTTGCAATTATCTTTAAGTGGATAATTATGCATCTAATTTTCGCCAATGTGGGCATTTTATATTCCTGGAGAAAAGCCACTGCTCGGAGTTTGTTCGTTAAACCATCGTCGGTGCAACGCAGGTTTGATAGACGCCAAAAAAAAAACAAAAAAACGACGGTATACGTCGAGAGAGAAAGAGAAGACAACGCTATAGCACAGCGTTAATATAAAAAAAAGGAGCGGTAACGGAGATGCCTTTAACGAAAACGATCGTCAACATCGTTCCGCAGAAGAATCTTGCGTGAATTTTGGTATGCGCGCGTTATACAGGCAACGGACTGTCACTGCGTATTCCATGTTCCATGATTAACATTAATACTACGGTCGTTTAATTAATCTTTTTTTTTTTATAGTCGCGGCGCGGGCGTAAAGCAAAATTCCGTCCCTTTTACCGCGCCGTTCGTTTCTTTTATAAACTATGGTTATTAAATCATATAATTACATATAGTGCAACAAGAGATTATAGATGTATGACAAAGTGACGATCACCGAGAGAATTAGTCAGCGATATCGTCGGCGAATTGTATATAATTCGTAGAATAAATATATATATATATATATATATAACTGTGCTCCAAAAAGAGATTGGTTTATCCGCGGAGACAGATTAGGTACAATATTCGATTCTTTTTCCCATCTTCAGCCCCCCTACCCCTCCCTCCCCCTTACACCGCAAGTCACAGCTCTACGCACTGTGGAAGAATCAAGAGATATTTACACGCAAAATACTCGAATCGTTGACGATCGCGAGACAGCTCGCGATCCGTTAACTTAAAGCGGGGAAAACTTTTTTGTACTTTTCTACAAATTTTCTCTCCGTGCCTACTTTACACGCTATATATCTAACGGCGATATATCCCCGACGGTAACGTAAACGTTGCCTCGCAAGTACCCGCGGCGTCGTTGCAAAACGAGAGGAGCACCGTGGAGGGCTTCGTTCAAATCAAACGGCACGAAATTCATNGCGTCCTAGAGATAATATCGGCGGGGAAACACCGAGAGCGAGGAAAGTCGGTATATACCTTAATGACTGTTTTGCGCGAACCACGCTGAATGGCCGGCCATTGCGTCTCGTATCTGCTCGAGCTCGCCGAGCGGAGTGTTAATCCCGCTAAGTGTGTGGTGGCACTTTCAATATTTCACTATACCGAAACGTCGGTCGAAGATCTTATACTATTCACGGCGCGTCCTCTTAGGACGCTGACTGACTCCCACGTCATCGCTGCCGCGCGACTTCTTACCGATTTGTACCTGACTCTGCGCCGTCAGCTGCAACGAGATTGCGTGAGTGTTGAGTTTCTCCGCCAGCAGGAGATCTTTGAGACCCTTCATCTTTTGACTGTACAATGTTATCTTCGGCTTCTCGTTCTCGGAATCTATCTTTACTTCGGGCTCGACATTCTCCTGTGAGGTGGAAGGCGCTGGCGGTAAAGTGTCATCCGGTGGCGCGACAAACGGCTCGCCCCCGCCCTGCAGTAGGTAATCTCTGTTAAGTATCTTCTCGCTACAGGCCGCCGTCAAGGCTTGAATACTAGGATGCGTCGACGCTGAATTGGAGGGTACTTTAGACTCTAGACTTTTGATTAGATCTCGCGCCGCGTTACCCCGTTCCTTGGTCTTGCAATAATTATTGTTGTTGTTGTTGTTGTTCAGCGTCTCCTCGGGACTCGTCTCCCTCTTCTGCGCTTCTTCCTTCTGTTTGATCTCCGTTTCATAACACTCTATGACGACTTGTGCACGTATACTGGCATCGAACTTTGAAATTGTATTCACCAGCGGCCGAGCCCAACCTATGTGCAGCACGGGAGTGTTGGCGCCCTCCTCCCACTGGCAAATACCGTCGTAAAATCTTAACAGGTATGCGAAACAACGTGGTTGCCGCAGCAAGCGCTCATCGACGCGTACCGCGTGTGGTATCAGTTCGTTGGCGATCTCTAGCAGCTCTTTATATATCTCTCCGTCGTCCCGGGAATAATCATATCTAGATTTGTATAATAAACACATATCAACACAAAAACAATATTTAACATATTCACTGACGTGTTCAAAAGCATACAGTGCAACTAATGTGTTTAGAACATTAAGCTAAAAAGAAAATCAAATACTTACTTTCGCAGAACATCGGCGGCATCGGCCCATGATGCAAATGCATTCACATGTAATCCATTCCGATACAGATATCCTCCTTGATAGGTGTAAGGATAGACATGCGCGTTTGCGTAAAACTTCCTCGCTGATCTTACGGCCTCCTACAGAAATATTGCGTTTAGAATAGATATAAAGAAAAAGTATCACTATCCAATATTTTAGCATGACAAACCTGAAAGAGATCTATTGGCGGTGGCCTTCCTGGTGTAGGCGCAGCCTCCTCCAATTCAGCCAGATTACCCAATGCCATAGGATATCTCGCTAAGTGACCCAAGTCATATAGCAACCATAATAGTTCTTGTTGGACCAATCCCACTTCGACCGCATCAGTAGTTGCGCTTAGACTAGGGTTGATGGCTGACACTATAGTAGCCACTTCCAGAGCGCGATTACACACCATTGCTTGACCATTTAAATATAACCATGATCGAGATGCTACACCAGGCTCCACTGGTTGTCCACGTTTATCCTCGTTTCCCTTACCTGGTAACAAATTACGATTGCTGCGTTTATCTTTAATTTAATATTGAAAGTGTAGAATCTAACAAAGAAATACTTTGCGCTCTCCCATGGCTCTATATAACGTACCGTGCCATGTGACTTCTGCTGTCTCCGTTCCATCCTCTCCGTACACAACCCACGCGTGATCCTCCGACATGGCAAGATGTACATCCTTGAATCCTAAAACCTGACAGCCAGCTACCACAGCAAAGGCGACTCCGTAACAGTCCAGCTTGTTCGACGTCAAGTAACTGTAGAGGCTCTGCAGATGCGCGCGGTCCTTGTAGTAGCTCCTGGTAAGCGAGTTCCATATCACGTCCGATACCTTCTTGACGAGTTCTCTGGTGGCGTACTTGGTGTCATATACGGTAAGATCGACGGCGCCCTTGATCACCGCGTGGAATTTGGTATAGAGAGCCTCGGCGATGTGGTACTCGACAGCCGGCAGCATCGGCTCGTCGTAGACGGCGCTCTCCTGCGCGGTGAAGACGCGATTGCACGTCAGGGAGTTCTCGACGGCGCCGACGAGGATCGAGAGCAACGCGAGATCCGGCTCGGCGCTGTTCTCCAATTGATTCTTGAAGACCTGCACGATCGCGGAGATGCTCCGGATCGGGAACAGGGCCCTGTCCCTGTCATGAAAGCCCGCCATGTCGCGTAAAAGGCCCGCCGGATAACTGGGAGGCTGGGGACGGCACGCACTCGCGCAAACGACGGTGGCGGCCGTCTAGAGATCTACGACGCCCGAGTCAGGCCCGTCATACCTATCTTATCCCGGTTTAAGCGGCGCGCTTCTGTCAGAGAACACGCAACGGACGGTGTGCCCCAGGTCGTGCCCGCCGACTCGGCTCGTCGGTTAACGCGCGCGCGTTACTCGGCTCCGCCAGTGAACGCTACCCGTGATGCGCGGATACCTCGCATCTCCGCACGCACGACAAAAGCCGCCGCGACTGCTGCTGGTGCTGCTCTGCTGCTCCTTCTCGCTTCTCACTTCTCACCCGCCCTACCGCTCTCTCGTTCTCTCTCTCTCTCTCTCTCTTTCTGTCGCTGCCGTGGTCGTCCAGCGGCGTCGCACGGAGCGTTTCCATCGTCGAACTCCGCGCCACGGTCAGAGATAGAAGCCGGTAGAAATTTCGACGGGTCGCGATTTTCGACGCAATACATACGGAAAAAAAGGACACGCCAATCGGGCCAATCAACCTGCCGCTTTTTCGGAAATAATAGATATGCGAAAACATAACGGGAGATTGATTACTGCGTCGCGCCGTCGCATATATACAAGAGAGCCATTACGTCAATTGCTTTTCTCTTCTCCATTGTAACGAGTAAGGATAAATATTATTTTTTTTTGCATTCTAAAGAGCGAAAATTGAAACCGATGAAATTTTTGATGGAGTTTACTTTTTTGTGCGATGTGAATATTTATATACGGAAAAAGATATACGTATCTCTGTCGCGATAATTGAGGTATCTCCATTACAACGAATAAAGTTGAAAAATATTTTACGAATATTTTATTTTACGGTAAAAAAATTAAAACCGATAGTGTTTTCGATAGATAAACGTTATAGATTCGAAAAAAATATATTGCTTATTGAGTTTTTATTGTACTGTAATGGAATGGAGACGAAAATAATTTCTGCCTTCCAAAGCAAAAATCGAAAGCTGAAACTGATATATTATATAACTTTTGCAAATTTAATTCCTTCATTATGATATAACTTTGACTTACAAAATGTAGATTTAAAAAGACAGAATTTTATATATAGTTTTTTTTATTATATTAATAATTTTCTTTAAATATTCTCGTTTTCTGTATATATAATACGTATATCACACAAAAAATCATCACACAGAATTCACGTACAAATTAAATGAAACTTGAATAATGTAGTTTTAAGATATATATATATATATATACGAGTACATGTTTATATTATTATATATGCGAGAATGATTCTGTTAGTTGCATTATAACGTACTGGAGTGAGCCTTCAAGGGTTGGGGAATGACCCAATTTGTAGAAAAGGATGCATATATGCTGGGTGGATCGCTATCTTTATCAAGGATTTGCTGGTTGATACTACGTAGTATCATAGTCAAAAACATTGACCTTATATATATACTTTATTTAAATTAAAAGAAAAACAAATAAAAGTCACAATCATTTCCAATTTCACTGTTTAAATTCGTAAATAAAACCAAAACATTTTCTGAGCCATCGTTTTAATTGCTAACAATAAATATCCGATGAGAAATTTCTTTAGGATATGGTTAATGTAAAAAGAGACAGAGATCCATCCAAGAATATATAGATCTCTTTCTAACTCTGATCTCGATTATCTATAGGATAGTATAGACTCAGTTCAATATACTATAGAGTTCAATGTGTTATATGTAGTCGTAGTCGCTTCATACTCGTCTGTGCAGTTGGTTGAGATCGTGTATCTTCCGATAAAAACATTCTTTCCAAATCTATTTTTATCACCGCTTCACGTTATTCAAAACAACAAAAAAACTCAATATAAGAGTCGGTGTAATCGCGTTCACACGTTTATCTTACGATTAGCATTTGCATTTCCTAAGCATCGCTTTTTGACTTCAAGATGAAAGTAACGATCAAAAGTAAGTATATTTAAAAAAAAGCTATCGGCAATTTTTATTGCTGTTCAATCTATATATAATATACTTGTATAATTCCATTTAATTATGTATCTGCAGAATTTTTAATCGTATGAACGCGGTTATGTTGCGACTCATATTTACAAATTTTCTCCGCCACAAAGTATCCTTCATATAGACCGGCATCCACGATCACCCCAGTCATCCACATTCTTTCTTCAGGTTGGACAGGCGTCGCCACCTGGCGCTGGATTGCCAACGACGATAATTGCGGCATATGCAGAATGCCGTTTGACGCCAGCTGTCCGGATTGCAAGATTCCTGGGGACGACTGTCCACTAGGTATTTCATTTCAATTACATTATTTTATCCCTTATTTATAAATATTGACGTATACACACGCACGTATATAACACGATAAGTATTCAAAAATACGATCTCGAAATCTATCTATGTAATATCTATTTATTATAAATTTTGCGTAAACATTTTTAAAAAATTATATTAAAAATAATTTTAAATAATTA